TCAGAGAAGATTGTTGGTATGATTTCAATCTTGGTGTATCTGTTGATGTTTGTCTTGTGTTCCAGTATGTGATCGATCCTGGAGAATGATTCGTGTGTGCTTGAGAAAAATGTGTGCTCACATTTTTTTGGGTTTAGTGTTCTATAGATGTCACTTACGTCCATGAGGTCTAGATCTTTAAATTCTCTATTGGGAAGAATCATAAGTTCCTCTAAGTCACTGTGGTTGCAGTCTGGTGTTTGAATGTCTTTTTGTGGTGTTTCCCACCCCCCCACCCCCCCGGGACATGCTTAGTTGCTTGTAATTTTTCTTCTTCCTGCTGCTTGTTTTCTAATTTGTCCTATGCGTTGGGACACTGTGTCACTGGTACTGGCTGGCATCTCTTTGGTGTGCTCTTTCTGGGATGTTGAAAACTGGTGGTCCAATCAAGTCCAATGCTGTTATGCCAAAAGTCCAGTAGGGTAGTGGTACTATGGATATGTTAATGGTCACTGTCCCAGAAAATCTCGTTCTGTATTTGTTTAATTCCAGAGGTGGGTCTTGAGGTCCCACAGACTGCCCTGGCAGTAGCTGGATCGCTCGCTGGGCTCCAAATCACTGGATGCCCCTCTGGGCTCCAACTCTCTGCCAGCCAGAGCCTGGCTTGTGGGGGCCTTCAGCACACCTCTGGCTATGAGGACAGCCCTTTCCCACTTCCACCCAGTCTAGGTAGGTTCTGGAGGGACACAAAGATCCCTGTTCTAAAATGGCAAATCAGGAGGGTACTTCCTTGTGCCCGCAGTCTGCCCTGGCAGTGGCTGGATCCCCCTCTGGGCTCCAACTGGCGGCCAGATGGGGCCTGGCTTGTGGGGGCTTTTCAGCTCACCTCTGGCTATGGGGACGGCCATTTCCCAGTTCCACACAGTCTAGGTAGGTTCTGGACGCAGAGATCCCTGTTCTAAATGGCCCCGTTCAAGTTTTTGTAAACAGTTCTGTCATTCAAATCTCCTCATGGTGCAGCGGGTTGATTGCAGTTCTGTGAAACAGTCTACAGCCTCTGCAGCATGGGTTTGATTCCTGGCTGGCCAGGGAGATAGCCACATGGTGTGGCAGACCTCTCCTGTCTTTCCTGCTGCTCCCCTCAGCAGTGTTTTCAGTCTGTCTGCCTGTTCTGCTCCCCACTCTATCTCTGGTGAATCCTCTCACCCTCCCATGCTTCTGGCCTGTACCCCGGTTCTTGTATAAATAAATAAATCTTTAAAAAAAATTTAAAAAATCTCCTACTGTCCAACTCAATATGATATCTATTTTCTACAGAAACTTTGAGAGATAAACTAATATTTATTAAGTATCTACTAAATGCCAAGCATTCAGTAGGAACTGTAACTTTAATTGTTTCAATATTTCCCTGAGGTAGGTTCTATTGTTGCTTCCTATATTACAGGTGAAGAAATGGAGGTGTCCAGAGGTTGATTTGTTAGCTGGATTTGATCCCAACTGACTTAGAGTCCTTTGGTTAATGCTGTACTTATTTCACTCTGTTCAGAATAAGTCATATTCTACCTGGGACTAATTATTTTCCCCTGACTTCATAACCCAGGAGGAATTAAACATAATAGAGATACATTGAAAGATATTATCAGAAAGTGTGAGGAGTCTCATAACTCTGAGAAAGGTGGAGAGAGTACAAATTCATAATATCGCTCTGGAAAACAATTTGACATCAAGGACCTTATCCTTAAATCCATTAACTCTATTTCTAATCTGTCCATAAATGTACCCTCTGTTAATTGCAGTACTATTCAGTATAGCCCAGAGATAGAAATGACCTGATGCCCACCAAAGATCACTGGATAAAGATGCAGCATACATACTCAACAGAAGACTACTCAGTGATAAGAAAGATGAAATCTTGCCTTTTGCAACAACATGAATGGAACTGGAAGTAATTGTGCTGAGTAAAATAAGTCATAAAGAGAAAAACAAATGCCATATTATTTCACTCATAGGTAGAAAATTAAGAAACAAAATAAGGGACCTCCCTGGTAGCATAGGGGTTAAATATCAGTGCTATCACTCTGTGGCCTGAGTTCGATCCCCAGCCAGCAAGCTAGCCCACATGGCACAGCGGACCTCTCCTGTCTCACCCGCTGCTCCCCTTAGCAGTGTATTTCATTAGACCTGCCCGTTCTGCTTCATACTCCATCTTTGGTGAATCCTCTCATCCCCTGTCCCCATACCTCTGGCCTACACCTAAGTTTTGTATGCATAAATAAATAAAAATAAACCTTTAAAAAGAAACAAAACCAATTAGAAAAACACAACAACAACCCAGCCCCTGATTGAAAAAAAAAAGTTGGCTACCAGAGAGAAAGGGGAAGGTGGGAGAAACTAACAAGAGGAGATCACTTGATAGCTATGAATGGCACTATGACTCTGTGGTTGGGTGTGGGGTGATAGACACATTTAACAAGGTATGAAACTATAATCCTGAAAAATAATATGATAAACCAATTCTTATTAATAAAAATAAGAATAAAATTATTTACATGCTAAGATGATCATTGTAGATGATGCCCCAAGAAGAAAATGGGAAATGATTTTGATGTTGAAGAACAACAAAGTGGCAAAGTGGTCAGCTAAATTATTATACATAAGTGTATATATGTACATTCTCTCAAACATAAGGAACATTAAAGCTACTGGGCCTCCCTGGTGGTACAGCGGGTTAAGCGCAGCGCTGTGAAACTGTCCACAGCCTCTGCAGTGCAGGTTTGATTCCAGGCCAGCCAGGGAGATACCCAGATAGTACATTAGACCTCTCCTGTCTCACCTGCTGCTCCCCTCAGCAGTGTATTTCAGTCAGTCTGCCTGTTCTGCTTCCCACTCTGTCTCTGGTGAATTCTCTCACCCACCCACGCCTCTGGCCTATACCCCATCTCTTGTATAAATATATAAATCTTTAAAAAAGCTACTAAAACAGTATTTTTAAAATGAGTTATAGAAATTCTCACACTATTAATATAGTCTTCAAAAGATTATCAAGCTGCATGTCCTACATTCTAATTTGTATGTGTTTGCATATATATAGAGGCGAAAAAGGCTTTGAAGACAAAACTACAAAATATTATCTTTACATTTGGAAATATGAATGATTACTTCATTTCTTCTATATAACTGCTTTTTGTATTTTCCAGTTTTGTACAAAAGATTGAAAAAATAAGTTACTTTAAAATATCAATGATAATTAAGATATAGCATTATAACTTTAAACATAGTAACAAACAACTGATTTAATCTTTGTTAAAATAATAGGAACTGCATAATCTGAAACAAAAGAAGGATCAAAAATGTGCATGAAGAGCTGTGAAAGGGGAGGGATTCTGACACTCACCCTGTATGAATTCAAAGTGGAAGAACAGGAATCAGTAGGAATTACAGAAAGAAAAACCTTTATTTACTGAGATGGAAAACAATTCTAGTAAGGTCTCTTAAAGTGGAAATAACCTTTGTCTCAAAGGTTTTGATTTTTTGTCACTGAAATATTCAAGAGACTTGACCATAATATCTCACAAATCTTTTTACAATGATTTCAGTTTTGATCAGGCAACCAGGCCTAGAATTCTCTTGACCAGAGGTCCTAAAGCTTGGATAGCACCAAACAAGAATATCTAAATATGATTGTTTCTTTAAGAGAAGTCATTATTGTTTTCGGGAATTCTCTTTTAATATTTCTTTTGAGGGTCAAAGTAGAATTCCTTACAAGTTCAAAAGTAGTTTCATTGGGAGGCATAGCTCATGTCTTTTTTTTTTAAGATTTATTTATTTATGCATACAAGAACTGGGGTACAAGACAGAGGTGTTGGGGGTGAGAGGATTCACCAGAGACAGAGTGGGGAACAGAACAGGCAGATTGACTGAAATACACTGCTGAGGGGAGCAGTGGGCAAGTCAGGAGAGGTGTGCTGCACCATGTGGGCAGCATCCTGGCCAGGGACTGAACTCGTGCTGCAGTGGTTCACTATAGCTTCATAGATTGCATCTTAACCCCTTGTGCCACCAGGGAGGCCCCCAGAGCATATGTCTTTTCAACACTGTCTATTCCTGACCTACAACAGTTCTAAGGTATGTCTACACGGAACAACTCATGTTTCTCGATCAAGCAAGCAGTGTGTCAGAGCTAGTTAATACATTCCCTGGCCCCCTCCATCCTGTTTCTGCCTGAGTCTTAGCAACATGCCTCCCTTCCCAGGCGGAGCAACCACATTTCCTAGCACTATAGAGTCTCTGGCCTCTCCACTAGCCGCTCAGAGAGTTACAAAACATAACAAAGAAAGACAGAGAAGTTAGTAGGTTTGGGGTGGACCAAGTGAATTGCTTGTCTTCTCCCCAGCTTGCTCATATTGTCCCAAGATGTGGTAGCTCTCTAATGCTTCCTGTAGGGCATGTCATAGCCAAGCAAACAGCTGCTTTTTTGAAAAGCTATGGCCATGTTGCATTTGCTTTTCTTCTTTCTCTTTCACTTTTTCCCCTCACTCTCACTTCACTGCCATTATTTACTCCACCAAAGCATTAGCACCGAAGCTCTGTTCTCGGTTTTTTCCGCAGGACACTGCATTAAGCTAGTGATTGACAGTTTATTGTGAGTTAATTGATCAAAGGACATCACTGATCATTGATCCTATGAGGTCTGAAAGAGTGGGCTGCAGGTAAATTCTGATACAAAGAACCAAAGGGAGTTTCACCTGCAGGAGGCAAAATGAGCCCTGAAATGAGGAGCAGCCTGAGAACCTGACGCAGGAAACACGGCCTAATGACACATGAAGCAATGGGCGGTAAGAGTCACCTTGGTTTGCATCTAAAACTTGCAGAGGGAAAGCCTTAGTAGCAAACTCACCCTCTGCCTCAGTCCTCTCCAAAATTCACCAAGTAACCTGCCTAGTGATACCATCACTTCCCAAGGCCTTTCCCCAGAGCTCAATTCTCCCATTATGCTCCCGTCCCTCATGCCCTTTACTCACCAACTCTGAGCTCCCCGCCTGCAACCACCATGCATGCCACACTCAGAATGTTGCTTCGGTCCACAGGGAATTCTAAAGTCCCCATCACATAGAGACCTTTGAGGAATGGAAGATCTGTATCCACAATGACAGTCCTGTCTGCAGAAGAAGAAGAATTTGTTCAGAGAAGCAAGAATTGCCTTTTCTCCTCCAATGGCTTACTTTGGGGTTCCCATGGCAATGCAGGAGCTACTTACATTGCTACCTATGCCAGGACATGTGCCACGAGGAAATAACAAATATTTAATAAAGACCAGGACTACAAAATACAGGGGGAGTTGGGGGGAAGGGACAGCATATAAATCAATTCTACCATTGTTTTACATACCAAGTCTTATGACCAAAAGTTAAGGTTTATGTGGTTTATGTCTCAACTACCCTAAGTCTACTTCAGTATAAACATCCAGATGAACATCCTACTTTTTGTTCCTCTCCCTTTACTTTGGTTTTGGTTTCAGAGAGGTAGAGAAGGACAGGTATGACCTTATACTCTGAATGATTTGGAGGTGACTCCCAGTTCTGCAACTTACTAGCTGTGTAAACCAACAGCTTTATCTCATCTGTGAAATGGTGATAAAAATTAAAATACCAGGGCCTCCCCGGTGGCGCAGTGGTTGAGCGCTGGGTTGAGAAGCTGCCCGCAGCCTCTGCAGCACCGGTTCAATCCCCGGCCGCCGGGCGAGGATCCCACATGGAGCACAGACCTCTCCTGCTACCCGCTGCTCCCCTCAGCAGTGTATTTCATCACTCTGCCTGTTCTGCTCTCCGCTCTGGCGCTGGTGAATTCTCTCACCCTCCTGTGCTTCTGACTGTACCCAGTGCTTATATAAATAATAAAATAAATAAATCTTAAAAAAAATTTAAAATACCATAAAATGGACCTTCCCAGTGGCGCAGCGTGTTGAGCACCCTCCTGTGAAGCTGTCTGCAGCCTCTGCAGCGTGGGTTCAATTCCTGGTTGGCCAGGAAAGACACCCACATGGCAGACCTCTCCTGACTCACCTGCTGCTCCCCTCAGCAGTGCTTTCAGTCCGTCTGCCTGTTCACTCTGTCTCTGGTGAATCCACTTACCCTCCTGAGACTACAGCCCATACCCCAGCTCTGGTATAAATAAATAAATCTTTAAAAAAATTAAAATTCCTATTTCATTCATTAGGATTTTAGTGGGTGGTGATTTAGTAGATCTAAACTGCTTATATCATACTGGTAAACCATCCCAAATTCTCCAATTCCTACCATAGAGAACTAAGTGCCTGGTACATGCTCAATAAATGTTGAATGTTATCGTTATTTCTACTGCTGTTCATTAGCTTGCAAGCTTGCAGAGCTTACAAGACAACTTAAAATCATTATTCTTCATCTCCCCTTTCATACAAGCAGTCTCCAAACTACTTCAAAAGAAAGAATCATAGATTTTGTCTGAAAATTACAGTAAAATAACACAGGAATAAAAATTCTCATTTAAAATAGTAAATATTTCACATATGCCAAAGTATTAAGTGTTACTTTCTGAAGCTTAGTCGTAATTCTACAAAAATTAAAGATATCAAATAAATTCTGCTTAAATTTCAAGTACCATAATTACTGATATATATAAATATTTTTAGTAATTTTGTTAACATAATCTCATTCCAGAAAACAATGCACCCTGCTATTCTTAAGGACATGGCCTCAAAATCAGTATCTCTGGTACTATCTTTCCCAGGTCCTGCCTACTTCCCTCCCTAGAAGACACTATATTTTCCTGCAGCAGAGCCTAGATGGTTGTAAACCAACATTTTCCCTTTTCTTCATGGGTTCACAGCTGGATACAGCTTGTAACCACCTTGTCAGTTAGAAGGAGTCATGGGGTCAATAAAATGAAAGTAGCCTGATCCATATATTCTCCCATATGTGTCCCCTCCTTTCCCTTCCCTCAGCTGCACAGTAGCACAGCAGTTCCCAGAGTGTAGTCAGTCTCCGACAGCATTAGTATCACCCACTCATCTATCAGAATCTACCCATTTTAGTTTTGTTGGTCAGACATTCTTTGCACACTACTGATGCCACCACTTTCCCTACAGAAACTTCTCTCTTTCAATCTCCAATGATATCCCACGCATACTTATATAAGAGCACAGACAGACTACCAGAATTACATGCATAATTACTGTATGTAAAGAGGTAATAGCCACTGGTCTGGTTTTCAGTGTAATCACATCTTTTTCCCCCACTGTTACTTCCTTAGGGGGAGAGACCATTCAGTTTTTCAAGTCCTTAGTGCTTCTTGTGGTATCAAAGATAAAAATGTTAAGTACATGTTGTCCAGATCTGTTGAGTTTAATCCCCTACCCTTTAAATTCAAAAGTTCATTATTAATGGATACAAATGGTCAGTTTAAATAGATAAAAATAAATATTTTTATTTATTCTCTGATGCTTTTAAAAATTCAAACTAAAGCAAGAAATATCTAGAGAATATTCTAAATTTAATACACATTTTATAGGTTTATGGCTTTAATATGATATCAAAAACCAGATAGAAATTATTTCAAGCAATTATTTCGAGCACCTTGAAAAACAAAAGTTCTATACAAATTGGCTTTATGTATTCCAACCTATAAGCCATTCTAAATATTCTACAATGTTTGACTGCTGAGCCTGACTGTACAAAGCTTTGATGAAAGCTTTCTCTCATCCATGGAGGACTTACAATAACCAAAATAATGTTAGTCCTCGTTTGAATGTGCTTTTCAATTAAAATATGGTAATTACATGAAACGTAAAATGTTTCGTTTTTATCACATGCTCCTTATAGAATAATTTTTTTCTTTAATTCCCCTACATACTTCAAATAGACAAATTTCCTATAAATCACAGCCTAATTATTATAATTTCCATAAGAAGAGAGACCAGAGCTGCGATTTTCATTTTTATTTGCTCAGCACCTATGACAATGTAGTTGCTTGAAGGGTAAAGTAGTTGCTCAAAAATAATACTAAGCAATGTTTGCATGTACATACACACACACACACACACACACACACACACACACACACACACACACAACCCGCATATAAAATCTAGCTATCAAAGAAAATCTGTAAGGTGAGGAAAATAATAGAGGGAAAATTCTTATTTTTTTCAGTGTTACCTTTCACTTTTGAATTTTCTGAATCAATATACCTACATTTTTTTTCTTTCCTTCTTCCCTTTGCCATGACGTGCCAAATCTTTTTGGGTTGGGAATTCAAAGACAAATAAAACACATTTTCCATCATCAGATGAAAACAGGCAAACAAATGCAATGTGATATGTTTGATATGATAATGCACTTTTTCATTATATTGAAGTTGATCCTATCTTCATTTTTATTGACTCAAAATGGAAAGTTTATCAATGTGCCTGTTACAATAAACAAAATTCTGCTAAAATGAAATAAACATATGCCTTAGAAAGATTTCTTATAAAGGAATCTTCCTTGTATCACAATAATAGAGATTAGAGTTGTCATTGAAAGTCACACAGCAAAAGAATTCACCCTAATGTGCAGTTAGGTGCCAACTGCCCAACACTCAGCTATAAAGACATCCGTAGAGCATTGAACTCTGCTCTAGGTGTGGAAAGTTAGGATCAACATGCCACATTCTCTAGAAGTAGCATCCTTTCCATGAAACTACTTCAGACATTTCAGAATGATGACTCAGAAAGTTACTTATACAACTTACTTAAAACCATGAATGATAGACCACTACTAATCTAATTGTAGCCCCATGCTTTTAACCTTGCCTTGACTTGGCCAAGGCTATTCCATCCTACTCTGTCAGTGACCAATCTATCCTACTTGAGAGAATGAGCACTGGCATATGGAGGGAACCATCTGGAATTTCTGTGGCTCGATGGGAGGCTGATGGGAGAACAGATCTGGAAAGAGACTCCAAAAAGAATTAATGAGTACCAGATGTAATTAAAGACTGCTTTCCCCCCAGAGGAGCTTAGGCCCAGACATGGGGTGGTGCCTCTTGGTTCCGAATTACACCCTTTTTCCACTTATTCATCCATCAAGTATTAAACATCCCACCATCTTTATCCTAGTATCTTTTGCCAAGCAGTGTTTTTGGCTTTGATTTTGTTTTTCTTGAAAGGATTGTATTTTGACAATTGGAAGGATAAAGTTTTAGAAAAAAATCTGGAAAATTTAACACTAGGGAGGAATCACCTGAATTTCCCCATGAATCAAATGCAAAAACAAACAATAACAATAGGTTTTGTCTTCTATAAATGTATTAGCTATCCTCAAGACCATAAAGCCTGAGCCAAATCAAAAGGCAGATGGCTCTGACAGAGGGCTAAGGCTTTTATTATATCAGGATAATCTGACTACCATAGTTACAAAGCATTCCATGTCATTTCAACATTAGATTTACACTCATTTTCTCCCAGCAAAGTCAGGGAATCAAGGTCACTATTGTGTAGCATTCCAAGGGTCTGACACTTGTCAAAATCCTGTAGAAATGAGATCAAGGGCAAAGGGCACAGATCCTGGGAATAATGATAGGGTCACATGAACATGCATATTTTAGGGCAGGCAGACTCTCTGCTTGTATGGTATTCACTATATCAGACCCCATAACTTAGGTGGTGAAGACAGTTTCCATTACAACTCTGCTATTGTCAGGAACACAGCAAAACCAACTTTGGACATAGTTCAGCCTTCTGAAGGCGAGTGATGGCATGAAAGGGCAGAGTGAGACACACAAGGACGATTGTAGGCTTGTTATTTTCCTATACCTTCCATAATTAGTGGGTTTGTCTCTTGCCCCGCCCCATATTTTCTTACATTGGAAAAGTAAATTTTAAAGTCATTTGAATCACTATTCTACCCAATCTTCCTCTTTTCAATGAGAATATTGTTAGCTCTGAAGTGACTACTTTAAACATATATATTTACAGAATAATTGGTAATTTTGTTCAACTTTGGTGAGTCTAATGACTTCTTCAAATATCCTATCAATTTATGAGGATGGCTATTACATCCAAAATAAGTACTCCTAAAATAGAATGGATTTCTCATGAAGAAATAATTCATAGGGATTAAAGATTAACATAACTGAAAATGAG